ACAATTTCTGTAGAAAACATGTAAAAGGAAAGCAGTGTCATCGTAGTTGATGGTCGTGTACTAGTGAACGCTTAACCTGTCCATGTTTTTTAATTCTTTTATTTTTTAATATATTTTATTGTAAAGATACTATATAGAGGGGTTACAGTTTACATGAGAAAGGTAATGAGTATATTTCCTATCGAGTATTGTTACCCCCTTCTGTCGGTGGTTTTGTGAAAAACATAAAGGTATTTTTGAGGTTTATTTCATCTCCTACAAGACAATGGTATAAAATTATTTTTGAACTATTTATTATGGAGCTTAGAGTACAGAAGGGTGGCAGTAATAGCACAGACGAAAGGAAAGAGAATGGAATTAGAATGGAACAATTCTGTATTCTCAAATGAAACCCACAAGCAAAAGTAAGAATGAAATAATGAGGAAAACTGTCATCTATATAATTAAATCTGGCCACACAATACAGGAAATTGATAGAGCAAAGAAAAGGCAAAATCTGGTTTTTGACAAGCTCAAGAAAAGACTAAGTCTCCAGCTAGATTGATGGGGAAAATGGGAAAAGACAACCATCTTGAAGAAAGGAAAAAGAGACACTAGCACAGATCGTATAGACAGCAAAAAAAACGGAACATGATGAGCACCTGGGTGCAGTTTAGAAGACTGACTCTGAAAGACACCAGCTTTCTAAAACCTAAGGGAAAAATAGAACAATTGATTAGTCATGTATTGATTTAGGAAATTTAGCTCATAATTAAAACTTGCCCTGAAGAAAGTTTTAGGCCCAGTTGAATTCTCTTGTTTAAGTATTAAAGGAACAAATAGCAGTTCTGTAGCTGGAGAAAGGAGCTGCCTTCCCTACTGTACAGATTTGCATTGCTTTAAGAGGAAGCCAAAGGCATGGGAAGAAAGGAAAACTTGAGGACAGGAGATCATGTGCCAGTCCATTCCATCCAGAATGGATATGGTTCTATGGTCAGATAATAACCCAAATTCCGGGTTTAACACTCAGAATAATTCACCACATCAACAGAATAAACCTAAGAAATGAGCGATCATTTCCGTAGATGCACAAGTATCCATGAGCACTAAGCACTCCAAATGGGTTTTCTACAAAGGCATCAGGGTAATTCTTTGGGGGAAGAATCATTTTAATGTGCTAAAACAAGTAGATATCTACAAAGTGATGAACTTTGACATTACATACATCATTACCCAAAAGTTAGGAGTAGACTGCTGACCTAAGTGGAAGAGTTTAAACTACAAAATGTATGGAAGAAAACAGACACCTTTGTGACATTTTTGTTGGACAGTTTTCTTAAAACGGGACACAAAAACCATTAAAAGGAAAACAGTATGATTAAGTCAAGATTAAAAATGTGATTCAAATAGAATAAAAATGTGCCAGGTGCTGATAGCTCACACTTAAAATCCTAGCTGTTCAAGAGGCTGAGATTTGAGGATCATTGTTTGAAGCCAGCCTGGGCAGGAAAGACCTCCAATTAACCACCAAAAACAAAAACCAAAACCAGGAAGTAGAGCTGTCATTCAAGTGGTAGAGCACTAGCCTTGAGGGGGAAAAAAAAAAAAGTTGAGACAGCATCTAGGCCATGAGTCCAAGACCTAGGACTTAGCACATATCCTCCTCCCCAAAGCATTTAAAACAAAAACATCAGAGTATTTTAAAAACATAGAAAGGGATGGCATCAATAAAGGTGCATTGTATCCATAAACTGACCATTGTATAACCAAAGAATAAAATAGAGTAAAAAAACATGTTTCGAGAGGGTTTGTATGCAGATCCTATAAAGAAGTCTTTTCAGTTCTCATAAAAAATGTCTCATTTTCATAAAAGTGGATCAGTGAATGACATGAATAGTAAATTCACAAAACACAACCCCAGCTATCACAAGTTACCTGAGGATTGTATTGTAAGAGCTCAACAAACCATTAGCTACTTTTAAAATTGGTAAAATTTAAAGTATGGTACTCCTCCTATATTGCTGATGGGGAAATAAAATAACCTAGCCACTGAGAAACTATTGGGGTTAGTTTCTTTCAAAGTTATATGCACATTGAGTATGTGACCTAGAAGCTCTGCTGGGTATTTGCCCTGGTGAACTGAAAAAACATTCAGATATGAATGTACAGAGTAACACCATTCAAATATACAAGTTGGAAATCATGCACAATCACTTGTTTACTGATGGGAGAGAAAAATCAATATCAAAATCCAATGCTCTGTATTGCATGACATTCCAAAGTAGCCATGTCTTCACCAATGGGAAGGAATGTGTTGTCGATCCCCAGTGGACTGATGGCAGTAACTCCATGCTTGGAGAAGTTAGTCAAACACAAGGGTTTACATACAATTCCTTTTGTGTGAAGTTCTAGAAAAGGTCAACCTTATTCTTGTGGATAGTGGTTTGCTTGGGTCCCAGTGTCTGGGCAGGAAATTTATTATAAAGAGGCTTGAAGAGAATTTGGGGCTGAAATGTTCTGTGGTGTTACTGTGGTTGCGGTAATGGGACTGTATCTGTAAGTTCTCAGCCCACCAAACAGCTTAAAATGACTGCGATTTCTTACACCTCAGTAAAACTTGTGGAAAAGAAGAATCATTCCTGTCATAGGAGTGTCACTTTGTTCCCATATAAATATGCATTACAGTCTTTTATTTAGTTGACAAAATAAGTTGGAAGTTAAATGAAGTATTCAAGGATGGCTTTTTGGTAAAGGGACATTTTGAGCAGACAGCTGAAGTCAAGTAATTCAGTTAAAGAAGTTGATTGCATATGCTCTAACCATGTCTTACTGAACTTGGTACTTCATAGTTTCTGTGGCTGTTACAAAGGAGATCTCTTTCTGATTGCCTTGGCTAATACTAATCGTAAAATCATGGTTTTTTTCCCCCCATCTTCCTATGTCTTATAATCTCACTTTATCATTAATTTCCTGAGGACAAGGACTATTGCTACCTACCACATGTCCCTTCTTTCCGGACTTTATTCTCGGGTTAATTTATTTGAATGATTTTCACCAAGACCAACCAGATGGTCACTGTGTGTGTTAGTCTGTCCTTCCTTAGCTTAGTGTGGCACCAAAGTGTAAGCAGAACTAAGGAAGGCCTTCAGAGGAAGCCAACGATGCTAGTGCCATTAAGAGCAAGTTCCAGGCTGCAGGTGAGTGGGCTGGCACCCCCAAGGTGGGACAGCCATGACGGTATTCATAGTCACTCAGATACGGAAAGACTGGCTGGGAGTAGATTAGACATGATGCTTTGGCAAGATTAATGATTGTATTAAATGAGTGAGGGGGAGCTTTTCTCTTTCCCACCTGTCTCCCCTTGGTCTGCTTTAGGAAAAGTGAGGTCTATGAAACCATTTAGAGCATTTTGAGAGCTGGGCATGGGCTGTTAGAAGTGTAACCTACCTGGTCATGTTTATGCTGCTCCAGTAGGTGGCAGCAAAGCCACCTTTAAAACAAAAGTTACATGAGGGGAAAAGAAAGTTACTTGGCAAATAAGTCCCTGAGAGGGTGCCTTATTTTCCCTATGAACAGATAAAAGCAGTGTCGCCACTGTATTTCAACAGATCCTAAATGTCTTGAGAAACTAAAATGATAAATTGTACCTAAAAAAATGTTACTTTTTAAGAAAAAATAGAAGTTTTGTTAGCAACTCCTGACCTAGAATCTTCACCCTCTACAGTGTGATGAATATTTTGACATACCATTTTCTGCCTCATAAGCTTCTCTAAGAGAATCCAGCTGTTACACAGTATATTCTAGCACGAAATGGCTACCTCGCCTAAACTTGGAGGAGTTTTGTGCATGTGGGAAAACACCGGTGATTTTTTTCTCTTGCATAAACGATTGAGGGTGGCAACTTTTCTAAGAAGAGAGCATTCTTAATCCTAGTAGTCAGGTGTGGCAAGTCAGTTTCTCCCTGGACTGCTGGCTTTCCAGAAGAGGCGGTGCAGTGGGAAAGGTGTGGTTCTGTCCCATCCTCCCCTGCATTGGGGAATGCCAGCCATGGGAGCTGCAGAAAACTCACCTTTGGCACAACAGCGAGTCTGGAACAGATGACAGAGATGTGTGGATGAGAGGAATCTCATCACTGATAAGTTCTTGTCCTCCTTCCCCTCTTTGGAAATCAGTTGATTTTTTAAAAATTTTATTATAAAGGCGATTTACAGAGGGCTTACCGTTGCATAAGTCAGGTAATGAGTACGTTTCTTTTTGGATAAAGTCACTCCTTCACACTCTCCCAGTTTAGAAGAGATTTTTTTTAACTCTTTAAAAAATAATGTTCATCTGGTGCTGAGGTTTCTCTCAGTTTTTCACATGATGTGCTGTTTAAGTCTCTTAAACTCAAGACCACATAAAAATGAGAGAGTTCAGAGTCATTTTTAATCTTACGAGAACATGATTTATCACAATCATTTACCATATATCTCGCATGCTTTGGAATTTAACAGACCACAGAAAACCTTCCTCTATTTTTCTTAAACCTAAAACAAACACAGTCTGCCAAACCATAGTACATCCGTAATTCAGAGGAGCAGATGGTGCGGCACACATGCTTCTGTTTAAGACCAAGAAGGAGTACAAGAGAAAAATAAAACAAAAGATTCAAAACCAAAAAGAAACATGCAGTCGCACAGAGCCGAGGCTTATTTGAGTAGCCAGAGGCACTGGACAAATTGAGAGCTGGGGAGAGGTGGTGGTCCAAACTCTGTGTTAGGTATGTTATCTTTCTTAAACACTGGGTCAGTCTTTTCCCCTGCTTTCACTCAGACTCGATCATTTTCTGTACAGAAACTTGCTTTCCTTTGGAACTGGACTCAGGGTAAACTGAGGGTACATGGGCGTTTCTTACACTTGATCCCTTTACCCTTTTTTTTTTTTTTTCCACGCGAGAACTAGCTAAAATGTTGGGTTCCCTGGCAGAGCACGTGGTTTTGTCTGAGCGTCCCCTAACACTTGCGCATTGGTTTTGACTGCAGCTGACCCCACAGTGAAGGACCTGATTGGAGGCTTCACCGCTCTTCATTACGCAGCCATGCATGGCCGGGCCAGGATCGCGCGCCTGATGTTGGAGTCAGAATATAGGAGTGACATTATTAATGCAAAAAGCAACGATGGCTGGACTCCCCTCCACGTGGCTGCCCACTACGGTAGGGACTCGTTTGTCCGGCTCCTCCTGGAGTTCAAGGCCGAGGTTGACCCACTCAGCGATAAAGGTACCACCCCCCTTCAGCTCGCCATCATCCGTGAGAGGTCAAGCTGTGTGAAAATCCTCCTGGACCACAATGCCAACATTGACATTCAGAATGGTTTCCTGCTGCGATACGCCGTCATCAAAAGCAACCATTCTTACTGCCGGATGTTCCTTCAGAGAGGAGCAGACACAAACTTGGGGCGCCTAGAGGATGGGCAGACTCCTCTGCACTTGTCCGCCCTGCGGGACGATGTTCTATGTGCACGGATGTTGTATAACTATGGCGCAGACACGAACACAAGGAACTATGAAGGTCAGACCCCACTGGCTGTTTCAATAAGTATTTCGGGAAGTAGTCGGCCGTGTTTGGATTTCTTACAAGAAGTCACAAGTATGTAATAATGATTATTCCTATTACCTTTTTTTAAAAAAAATTTTTTTCAACTTAGGAGGAACTTAAGGTGTTTTTATAACATAAGATGACAAGACATTAGTCATTCCTGTAAGTCCCTGCTGGTAAGTAATGCCTCATTTATCAAGAAAAGAAAAGGCCTTTGAAAAAGTTCTAAATCCAGATGTGTTACTGAGTGGAGTGGGGAAGAAGGTAAGGGGTGGGGGAGGAAAGGGGTAAAGACGAAAGGGAGAATTTTCAGAATGAGTGAAGATCCATGCTGGCCCAAGGCCATTTTACTGTTGGTCAAAAGAATGGCCATTCTAGGCTTTGTAGAATTCAGAAATTGGAATTACCAGGAGAGTGCTGGGTATTAGATGCCTTAGCTATGAGAATGTTCTAGAAGTGTGTCAGTATGCTCTTGTAGGGGCCCTGGAGACCCTGGTAGGGTCCACAAGGTCCAGATTCTTTCCTACCAGGACCAAAGGGGTGTTTGCCTTTCTCACTGGGATTACATTTCCTCTGATGGTCTGCAGGCTATGGAGAGAAACTGCTGGCAGGTGAGCCTGAATCCAGCCAGGGGGCCAACTTTCTTCTCCCCAGGCAACTCTTAAAAAGAAAGGAACAAAGGAACAGATATATGTGTGTGTGTACATATGTTGTATATATTATAATAAGCTTGCTGCTTTAGCTTTCTTTCACACAGTGTCCTCAGTCTAGATCTTCGGATTATTTTTGTTCTGTTTTGTTTTAGAGGTAGTTCTTCCTATGTAACCCAAGCTGACCTCCCAACTCCCGATCCTCCTGCCTCAGCCTCCTGAGGCAGTGTCACACATCACCTGCACCCAGCTAGCTAGGTCTCCAGTGTCACACATCACCTGCACCCAGCTAGCTAGGTCTCCAGTGTCACATATCACCTACACCCAGCTAGCTAGGTCTCCACTGCTCTTAGGGCAGAGAATAAGCTAGCTGGTTGGGTTTGTGTCTCAGGCCCTGACAAGAATGAGCAGAAGCAGTGATTGTGTTCTAGAAGATGACACACAAAGATTGGAATCAACCACAAGTAGGCTTTGGTGTGGTGGGTTCGGTTTTCATCTCTGCTCTGAGGAAGTAAATGGTTCACATTTCTACAAAAAAACTTTTAAGTAGATTGGAGTTGAGTTGTATAAACTATTTCACAAGAGACTTAATCCGTCAAGTACTTAAGCTGGTTGATTTCTAGAACATCAGTCACAGATGTATAAAAATAATATTTTATAAATATCATAGTAACCAGAAATATGTTTTTATTTAGATTTTAGCAATAGGTATCATGGGTTTGGCTGTTTTTTTTTATGTAGTTTGCAGAAACAAAATCTTGAAAACAAGACTTCAAACCTTTTAAAAAAAACAACATCAGCAACTTTAGGGTTAGAAGTTTATCAGTTGTAGAAAGAGGACTTGCCTAAATAAATACTTAAAGAAAATTTAAAGATGAAAAATTTTAAATAATTTAAACTTCACCAATAGCTAAATAAAAATGTAAAAATAAGAACTGATGAAAGTCTCTTGAAAGAAAGCGAAACAGACTGGTCTTGCCTGAGATCAAGCCAGTGCAGCAACAGCTGTGCTGTGCGAGCAGTTGGCCACACAATCAGTCTCATCATCAATTGTCCTGACCTGCTGTGCACCTTTCCAGTGCTTCTTGGATTGTTCTGTGGGGTAGTTTGCTGACAGTGTCCTATAACATAATGTAACACTCTGTGATTCTTTTTTTAATTGTGGACTTACTAGGGTTTGAACCCAAAGGCTTGCCTGAAGGGTTCTGTACCACTTTTGAGCTATACCTCCAGCATAAGCTTACTTTTTTATTCTTCTAGTAACTGAGTCTTTAACTGTAGAGTCTGGGCACTGTCCCTGAGCCTTTTCACTCAAGGCTAGCACTCTACCACTTGAGCCATAACTCCAGTTCTGGGTGGGGGGGGGGGGGGGGGGGAATTGGAGAGGAGAGGGGGGGAGGAGGTGGGGTTTGCAGTTAATTGGAGATGAGAGTCTGATAGACTTTCCTGCCTCAGCTGGCTTCAATCTGGGATCCTCAGATCTCAGCCTCCTGGGTAGCTAGCGAGGATTACAAGTATGAGCCACTGGCTCCTGCCTGGTTTTGATTATTGATTTCCCCAGACATCAATAGTATAGTCTTACTAGAGTGCCCTTTTATAAACAAAAAGCACACAGTTTTAAGTCCAATTACACCAGACTGTAGGGTTATTTGACAGGTTATTTCATGCACATTTGTAGTATTTGCTGTTTATTTTTAATTTTGTGCTGGTTCTGGGGCTTGAACTCAGGGCTTGGGTATGGTCCATGAGCTTTTTTGCTCAAGCTTTTCCACTTGAGCCACAGCTCTACTTCTGGCTTTTTGGTGGCTTCTTGGAGGTAAGAGTGTCATGGACTTTCCTGTCCAGGCTGGCTTCAAACTGTGATCCTCAGATCTCAGCCTCCTGAGTAGCTAACGATTACAGGTGTGAGCCACCAGGGCCTGGCTCCTTTTGTAATATTTTCACTCTTCTGTCTCTAATGTCAGCATCTAGAGATTTCTTGTCATTTGATAGTAAGCCATGTATGGTTTTGTTTGGCACAACCCAAATGTTAAGATCTAAGAAATCATTTGCCTATGGAAAAATTGGAGCCAGTGGACAAATGTCAAAGTCTAATACTCTATAAATTTGGACTCGAAGAGAATACCATGATTTCTGTTTTTAAGGGGAGCTAGAAATTGCCTTTGGTCCTACGTCCTATGAAGTAAGGGTAAGGTTTGTTTAAAGTACTTTTATACAAAGTCCCAGAGAAGGGAATCAGAGGCAAGAGCAAAGGAGCAAAGTGTGTTCCTGGTAGGATTTTACTGTGGGAAGCTGAGATAAAACAAAGGGAGGTGTTGTTGACACCAGATGTGGAACATTCCAGATGTTGACCTTTGATGGCAAGGGTCTCGCGTAACAGTCCAGCGTGGAGAGCAGCCCAGAGTGGGCTTAAACCTTCTTTCTTGGCACTCTGGCTGCCTTCGGCAGTCTCCCCTTGCCCAAAGCCATCTCCGGGCCGCCTCGATCTCATGCCATTCACTTTGGCTGTCCTGAAATGTTTTGTCTTTATTTTTGTGAATCCAAACATTTTTATCCAAATAAATAAATTTATCCTATCATAAAAAAAGAATGGCGCTGACATCAAAGGGAGGGTGGTTAGGAGATTTAAATTTTGTTTTTAATTTTGCTGCTAGCCCTCATTTTGGCATTTTTTCCTAACACAGACCCTTCAAAAGCTGATTTCCTGTTTTATACCAGCCCAATTATTAGTAATGATTGGCTGCTTTTGCAAAACGGGAAATCTGACAACCCTTTGAACTGTGAGGTAATTTCCATTGCAGTTCATGAGCCTGAAGACTTCTTTTTCCTGCATCCCCCAAATTATACTTTCTAGGGGAGATGTTCCCTACGTTGCCCATGTTATAATCCCATGGACCAAGTGGCTGTTGCTTTACAGGGCAAGACCTAATTTCCTGAAATGCTAGTGTGTGCATTTGTACTGATTCTTCCGCAGTCTTTCCCTGGTGCTTTCTGTGCCTTCTCCTATCCCCTCTCCCTTTTTTTCTTGCCCTTTTAATCTCTGGGACAGTGTTCTATGGAATAGTAGAAAGCACATGCTAAATGCTTGAGTGATCTATTAAGCCCAAGTGGTGGCACAAGTCTGTAGTTCTTCTACCCTGGAGGTTGAGACAGGCGGATGACGGTTTGGAGGCCAGTCTGGGCTATATAACAAGATTTAGTCTTACAAAACAAAAAACAAAGCCAGGTATCAGTGGCTCATACCTGTCATCCTAGCTGCTTAAGAGGCTGAGATCTCTGAGGATCGCAATTTGAAAGCCAGCTCAGACGGGAAAGTCTATGAGACTCTTAGCTCCAATGAACCACCAAAAAGAAAAAAGAAAAACAGAATTAGTGCTGTGATTCAAGTGGTAGGGCAGTAACCTTGAATAGCAACAAGAAAAAACTCAAGGACACCACCCAGGCCCTGAGTTCAAACCCCAGGACTGAAAAGCAAAAGAAATAAGGATACCTTTGAGGAATACTCCTACACTGCCATTCCTGGGGAAAGAATTCTGAGCTCATCTGCTAATAGTACTTAAAATAATTTGGTCCTTCCTTATTCCTCCTGTATTTTTTTTTGTCCTGCTGTTAATTCAACAGTGCTAGCATAAAACAGGACAAATAGTTACATCTATGTAAATGGAGAAACTATCATTCCAACCTTCACTGCATCACTGAACAGTTTTTTGTTTTTTTGTGGGTTTTTTGAGTTGGTCATGGGGCTTGAACTCTGGGCTTGGGCGCTGTCCCTTAGCTCTTTGGCTCAAGGTGAGCGCTCTACCACTTGAGCCACAGTGCCACTTCTGGTTTTCTGAGTGGTTTATTGGAGACAAGAGTCTCACGGACTTTCCTGCCCTAGCTGGCTTTGAACCAGGATCCTCAGAGATCTCAGCCTTCTGAGTAGCTAGGATTACAGGCGTGAGCCACTGGCACCCAGCACACTGAACAGTTTTTATGCTGTTAAACAGTCTCTGCCCGGTTGTTTTCTTGTAATGAGTGACAGAATATAGTGTCCATCCATGGGTCTGGACTGTTTTCCTGATCCTGGATGACCAGGCCCTCCGTAGCTGTCAGGCAGTGTTTTCCCTGCTGTCATAATGGAAAATCACAGTTCTTCCCTGAGGCAGGAGGCTCTCTGCTTTTCTGGTAACAGAAAGTAAACATCCATACAACTGCTTGGCAATTAATATTTTGAAACATTCTTGCATGACTCCATTCTCAGTACTGTACCAGAATTAACTTTATTTCGTGCTTGAGAAACCTTTGAGGTGGGTGCTGGTTTTATGAGGAAACCAAGGCAGGAGGCTCAGTATGTCAGCCAAGATCATACAGATTATAAGGAGTAGGGCTAGGGCCAGAAGCCAAACCCAGGCAGTCTGGCTCCAGGGGTGATGATTATTAATCACTATGATATATCTATCATTAAAGATAATTCTTCAGACAGTTGCTACAGAGGGACAAGAAATCTTTGAAAGATCCCATACCCCCCCCCAAATATTTAAAGAGGACCACAGCGCCCTTGAGCCAAGCATTCCGGTGTATTTCAGGCCCCCAGTATCCACTGAGAAAAGCATTCCAGTAGTTAGACCTGGACAGTACTGACTGAGCACCCAGCCAGGACTAACTACCCAGGCATCTGGTGAGCCATGTTGCAGAGGGAGAAGCCAGCTCTAGAAAACACTGCACGGAGCCTAGATGTAAAATACATAAAAGAATCTTCTATCGTTTTAAACCACTAAATTACAGAAGTCAGGAAATACTAACAGCCGGGGAATCGGTTATGTCATGATGGGAATCATTACCATCCTTACCAGTCCTTGATCTTACACGAGTCTTCTCCACTCACGAAATGGTAAGGGACCATGGATACCAAGCAGTAGGCACCAGGACTGGGAGATATTTTGGTTTCGTTTGGAGAAGAACAGAGGCCACTAAGCAAGACCTTTCAGAAGATTTCCACCAGTACATAACCTTTCGTTTCCTCCTTGTAACCTTAGCTCAGCAAATTCTGATAATTTTATTTTTCAACCACTTAGTTGACAATATGTTTTCATTTAAACATGCCTAGGTACTTAATATATGTCAACTTAGCCTCATCTGGTTTCTCTGGTGGTTCATTTTGTTAAAATTATAGTTGAAAAGAACCTGCCTTCTATTAGGAAAATCAAATTCTTTAACCCCCACTCCCCCAAGGAAAGAAGAAGAAAAAGAATCACATCTAATTCATATAAACCTGCCATTTATTAGGAAAATCAGATTCTTGGGAAAAAACTTATTCTTAAGGTGATGCACAGAGGGGCTCATTTTATGTCAGGTAAGGGCTGCATTTCCTTTTGGAATTTTCTTTTGGGCAACATCACCCCATTTGTTCACTGTCTCCCAAGAAAATCAGATTCTTAATCACATCTCATTGCTATCCTAGTTTGGATTTGCTGATTAAATTCTGTAAGCATGTACTGAATGATGACTATGGTAAATCCTAAAGTAGTATTCCACGAATAGTGATGGAGAATAATTTAAAACGCAGTGCATTGGTGGTTTGATACTCTTAAGCTTAAGTCTTCAGTGGCTCAATTAATACTTGTTGAGGGCTTAAGTCAGACGACTGGTTTATGTGGGACAAGGGAGTCAGACAGGACCCGCCCTCGTGGACCATGTCACGTGGAGGAAGAAGCCCTGAATATGTAAATGTAGCATCTCCCAATACGTAACTGCAGAGACTAAGGAAAGGCACTCTGGGCTCTGTGATGGCGAACCTGAGGTGGCCTTCTAGAATTGAGAACCAGCAAGAGTCCTAAGAAGGACGACACTCAGCCTGTGGCCTTGAGTGCCTCAGGGGCCCCTTATATCTTTTAGGGTACCTGTGAAGAGTCCTAGTGATTTCCTTAGTCCTGCTAAGACATGATGTGTCTGTTTCTCATTGCTTTTCTCCTGAGGGTTAAGTGGACTTTTTTAGCACTGAGTTGATGTGATTTGTTCACCAGACTAAATGCATAAACACCTGAGAAATTTCAGCTATCTTTCGGCCAGACATTAGGAAGCACTGCAGAAATGTGAAAAGGATCTCATTCCTCTCACCAGATTTTTTTCTTTGGGGGGGGAGGGCTGGTTTTGTAGAAAACTTATTTTTTAGACTAGTGTGTTCATTTAACAAGCAATGAATTTATTCCTGAAACTACTTTGAAATGAGTTTGATTTTTTTTGTTTTAATTTCATTTATGATCATTATTCAGAGATGCAGCCCACATCCAGCTTCCTTTAATTCCTCAATCTTTTTTTTTTTTTAAGCATGAAGAGATTGTAAGACCAAAATGTTGTGGAAAGCCACTGAAATCTGGCATCTGGTTAACTTAGTTATTACTTCAGCTCTCGGAGAGTGTCAGTAAAATGAGGGTGCTGATCAAAGTACTTCCCTCATAAATTGATTAAAGGAGAGAGAGTATGTCAAGAGCTTAGAACAGTGCATTGCACAGAGGACACAATGAATCAGTTTTATTATTATTATTATTATCGCCACTTAATAAAATAGCACACCATATGTAACTCCAAATATTCAAGCATTACTGAATTTTGCTTGTGGTTTGTGGTCACTGCATTGTTCTGATCTATAAAGCAGGGCATTTGAAAGGAGATGTAAGTTTTTTTTGTTTTGTTTTTCCTCTTTTTATTTATTTTGTAACTATCCTTTAGTAGTTACACAAAGAGGTTTCAATTCAGCATGTCAGTTGATGAGTTACAGGGCTTCTTAATGTCACCCTTTCCATTCTTTCCTCCATCTCCTCCAACTTCATTCCTCCTCTCAGTTCTCCAAGTTCCATTTCCACATATAAGGACATTGAATACTAGGATTACAGTAGAATTTTGACAATTTTTCATTGAGGTTTAGTGGGGTTTAATGGTCAGTGGAAGTGGATACACAGTACTACAACTTCAGACTAACTTGGGGTTCCTTGTAAAACTCCCCCTGTAGCCCCTTGCCACCCCTGGCCCCAAGCCCCCCTAAGATTCTTCTCTGTCCGAGCTGACAGTGAACAGGTAGGCAGATGCTGTTGGCAAAACCCCAAGATAATGGTTAAGCGTCAACACTTCAGTGTCTTCCAACAGAAAGGGCTCATGGTCAAGAGAGTCTCATTCATCCACATTGTTCAAGTGGAGAAACAGAGGCCCAGAGAACTCATTTTCTCAGGGAAGCTAACGTCATTATTAGACGCCTCAAGACAAGGACCAGCACTCTCTCAGTTTGTAGTGGGAAGAATGCAGGCTTGAAACGGGACGAGCCAGTTCTAGTCGCAGGCTGACTCCCAGTGAAGTAAGCAGCTCTTCCCACAGCTTCAGAGCCCACTTTCAATACTGCGTCTTAATACCGTCAGCACCTTCAGAGCTTATCTTAAATCTGATGCTTTGTAACTTTTTCTTCTTTTCTTTTTTTCCCCTGTCTTTCTAGGACAGCCCAGAAACTTACAGGACCTGTGTCGAATTAAAATTCGACAATGTATAGGCCTTCAAAACCTGAAGCTACTTGACGAACTGCCCATCGCCAAGGTCATGAAGGACTACTTAAAACACAAATTTGATGATATCTGACAGGCCACAACTGTGAGCAAGATGAGGAGTTCATGTTCCAGATACTTAAAAGGCGCTTTTTTTTTTTTTTTTTTTTTGCCTTGCACAAAGTATATCCTATGCAATTTCTGATTTGCTATGAAATCAGAAAGCAGGTATACACATCGGGGGGCGGGGGGAGTCTATTCAGCTCGTTGGTTTTCCTCGGAGAAGGGGATTTTTATATATATATATATATATACATACATACATATCTATATATATAAACATACCACATGCTTGAAGGTCTTAATTTGGTTTCTTGGTCCAAGTTTATGAGGTCCAAGCTTTCTATACAATATTGCATTTAGGAAAATTGTGTTTTGTTTCGTTTTGATTTCTTTCTTCCTAAGTGATGTTAGGTTTGGAGTGGAGAATTTTATCCTTACACATTTATGGTTTTATTTGTGAGTGCGGTACTAAAAGCCAGCAGAACACTTACCAAGGTTTGCTGTCGATTTTAGGGGGTGTGGGGGGAGGGATGGGGGTTGGGTTCCCAGGTTACATACTAAAAACACCCCAAGAAAAGTTTTTAAAAGTCATGGCAGTCACTTTATTCATTCTGAATCGAGGACAGATTGGCTATTTCAAACTTCTTTATTTTTGGTCTCTCTAATGTAGTTTTCCAATGACAGAAACCCAGTACCTCGGCTTTTCCTGTTGGTGTGCTCTTGTTTTTTAATTTATTATTATTATTTTTTTAACTGTAAGACACTACTCTGAGACATGGTGTTGTGACTTTCTGTCTCTGGTTGAATTGTACTTTTGAAAGAAATTAATGGGAAAGAAAATAACTTTATAAAGCCAGTGTACTTTGTTTTTTTTGTTTTGTTTTGTTTTTTTCAATCACCCAGTGCAATACACTTCCTTCCGCTGTCTCCTGTTCATGTTTTTCTCTGGCACTTCCTCATTCCCCACCGGCCCGGCACAGCGGGGCCAGCACTTTGGTGCCCTGACAGAACCCAGACTGTGTCCTTACAACGACCGTTTTAAACCTTGTCTTTTATTTCCCTTTGAATAGCATATTCTGGTGGTTGAATGGACCCTAAAAATAGCCCAGGCTATTTGTTAAACCATTTGGCTTTAATGGTTAAATCATTTGAAGTGGTTTCTTGGTGTTTTTATTTCCTTCTTCCTGGTAATATATACATATATACATAGATTCTATTAAGGGTAAAATCTCTAATGGTGCACATTTCTTAAAGTCTGGCTGATTCCTAATACGCTAACTAAATAGTCTCTGTCTGTTTTACAGTTAGGTTCAGTGGAGCTCTCGAGGACAGTTATTTGATTTGGGGGCTGATTGGGTGGGTGCATGCAGTGTAGACATGGCCAGGCTAGAGCTTCGGTAAGCAGAGGAGAAGGTTCTAGGATATGGGCTCCATGCTTTAGTCACCATTTGGTTCCTTTCACAGTTCTTGATGTCCCCACATTATCTTTCGGGCTGGGGAAAACTTCCAAACAGTCACATGCCATCGATTTATCTGCTATCCAAAGTTTACAAGGCCTAGGAAGGGCTCCTCCTTTTCTTGTCTGAATTGCTAGCTATCAGTCATAAAGTGCAAAAGCTCTTCCGGCTACGAGCGGCCCACAGCGGGGCGGAGCCTGCTCCGTGCTGCCTGGTCCCATCCAGCAGAACCATTCTCCTGGCTGTACAGCTCAAACCTGGCATCAGGATTGCGCCCATCTGCTTGTACCCAGGCACCATGTGTGTTGCCGAACAGGCCGGGAGTTATTTGGAGAATGATAGATGTGTTCCTATCGATTTGGGTCAGCAGTTTTTTTTTGCAAAGGTGTCCATTTTGTCAGACCCCCAAACCGTAGCTGGAGCTGGATGGGTAGGAATGGGTGGTCTGACCTGTTCCTAATGGCTGTCTTCTAGAGAGAGCCCCTTAGTTCATTAGAACAAGACCCAGGCCAGAGCTTAGACACATTGGCAGCGTTAGGGACCATGGGATGGCCAGAATGGACTTGTTAACAAGCCCAGGAAGACAGGAAGCAGGATGGTGCCTAGGGGCGCACTCTGAGCACTGATTTAATCAATGGACCATTTGTCCAGGCCTTCTTTCCACAAATGCCAATAAGTGTTACTGATTTATTCAGCTACTATATTATATAATGATACTCTCTCCCCAGCCATTCAGAGGTTTCCAAACAAAGTTAGCCACTGAGTTTTGAGTCAGCTCTTAAAGTAAAAAGATCCGATCAAGGTAAATTCTTGGTTCTATATTGCTGCTGTGACTTCAGAAAAAAAAAAAATTATGAGAGCTCTTCCTAAAATTGAAAATTCTATTTAATGAAGAAGTGTATAATTTCATTATTTATTGTTCTGAGGTTTGATTTATCTGAAAGCTTAAAAAGAGTGTTTATGTTTGCTGTGAATAAAATTCCAATCATACTGTATTTAACAACAGCGGAAATGTCGTACAGTTGGTAATGGTGGGGCATTCACACAGGTGATCTGGCAGGTTGACACTTGAACTTGAATTTGATTGGCAAAGACACATTCTGTTCTGGTCACATGAGTGGTATGAGCAACTATTTTAAGGAAATTAACCAATTGGGTTTTTCAGAATTTTGAACACAGTGTTCATTCATCCCGTTATCAAATCTTGCTGCCAACTCTTCAGTGTTTCTTTGGAAATTTCTTAAGTCTAGCACTAAATTTTTATAAAACTGTACACCAAAGACACCAGCTCATAGAAGATTATGATCATTAACAAACTCCAAACCTCATCTTTTGCAAACAAAGGGGTTTATTTCTTTTGTAAATATTTGTTTATAAATGTATAGCAGAGTAAGTGTTGTGGGTTGTTTTTTTTTAGACTATTTAATTCCATATTTCTAAACAACTTAGGACAGAATAACCCATGCTCTGTAGTTTGGAGTACTTGCTCATTCTGCTCTTTTTTTTTAGTTCATTATCAGTCATGTTTGGAACAGCATTTCAGTGAATTCTAGCAAATTCTGTGTACACCTGGCACATGAAGGAGGCTAATAGCATGGCTTTTGTCACCAGTTTCAAACCCCGAGAAATAGACACAAGTGTGGAGCTTAATGGCCAGAGTGGACCCTACGAGATTGAAATTTTAAACTTCCCTGCAGAATTGCTCATTAGCCTAAGATGTGATTGGAATACGGCTGTCTGCCTTCAAATTTAGCTTTCACCTAATGCCCCGTGTGTTATATCATAATCTTATTTTGTTCTGCCTTTGTAATGTATGTTTTGCTTTGGGTCAATTTGAATTAAAAAAAAGACACTTTGAATCTGATTTTTAAAATGTCTTGGAATCGTATTTTCTTTCTAGTCTGCCTTATTACTTCCAACTGCCTGATGAAAAAAGAAATCTTAGCAGTTACTAGCATTTGGATCACTAAGAACTGGCAAAGAATGCAGTGCAGCAAACAGTACTACCCTGCATTGGCAAAAGCCAATTTGGTTTATTTGGGGTCATGGTGGTCCTGGGGTTTGAACTCTTGAGATTTTGTACTCCCTAAGCAGGTGATCTTACCTAACTCAGCCACACTCTGGTCCTGATTTTAAAATGCTGGCTAGTTTTTCAGGTGCACAGTCTCATTTCCTGCCCTGGTATAGTCCTGGGCATAGCAGGTTCGTGTTAGGCTTCCCATTTAGGTAAGAGAATACGTGTTCATGACATCATCCACCTCTATGTTGAGAGGTCTCACAAACTTTTCTGTCCTGGGATTGGTCTCAAACCACAATCCTCCCAAACTTAGCCTCCTGAGTAGCTAGGATCACATGCCTCACGCCTGGAGATCCAGCATGGAACCATCTTGGGCCACATTCATCACCTGTCTCACCTTGAACAAACAAGGATTCTAAACATGGAAAGGCCAGTGCAATCACAGCAGTGCATTTGAGGTAGTTGATTGACTTTCAGGAGACAGAAGCAAAATCACTTGGATCTCTTACATCTTTGAATAACCATAAGTACAACTGGATTCAGGAGAGACCACATCCTTCTCTGAATGCTGATGTGCCTGGGCAAAGGAGCACTGAGCATTCAGCACCCTGTGTGGGAAGGGGGTGGGGAAATGCAGCCTTCCTCGTCACATACTTAGGAATATTTGGCACCAAGGAAAGGCCAAGATTGGGATTGGGACTTTTGAGACTTTGTAATGGTCCTTGAGGGAGTTCAGCTTTGTAAAAGCGTTCTGTTGCTTGGAAATGCTAAAAGTCATTTCTTTTGCAACATGATTTCAGGGTATTGTTTTTTCAGCTGAAAGATAATTTACAAGAATAGTTTCCTTGCTATTGATAAAACATTAACTACTCAATAAAAGAAGTATCACCATCTCATTTTATCCAAGATAAAAAGAAAGCAGGTTTTTTTGTTTTTTTAATTATCTGCCTGTATTTATGTAACTGTTCCTCTAAGCGGAAGAAATGATGCTTTACAGATTTTGATGTTTGAATTTTTGAGTTTACATGCTAATAAAGACATGGGCTCTATAAACACATGGCCCGACACTGCAATGTAGGCCAGAGTTGTAGGTTCCTAAGATACAAAGATGCTTTTTGTTTTGACCAGGCAGGTGCTGTACCACTTGAGCCACATCCTGGCTTTTTTTTTTTCTTTTAACAGTACTAGTGTGTAAATGGCCGCCTCACGTTCACCCAGTTCAGCTGGCACTCTGCCACACTCCTGCCTTGCTTTTTGCTGGTTATTTAGGAGATGGAGCCTCACGGACTTTGTTGCCTCGGCTGGCTTTAAACCAAGCTTCTACACATCACAGCTTCCAGAGGTGTGAAGGTTTTATATGTATATGCCACTGGTGCCTGGCTTTAGTTACTTTCTGAGTAAGTTCTCACATTCTCTGGGTAGTATGCATCGCCGGGATGACAGGCATATACCCCCCAAACCAACCTAGTTGGTATTAGTTGCAATAAGGGGTTTTTGCTCTCCTTTGCTCCTGATGTTCACCTCCTAAGTAGCTGGGACTACAGGCGTAAGTTACCTCCGCGTCTGGAAGATGATTTTTCTTAAACTATTATCATTTGTACTTCAGTCACTACCTAGCAGGTCACTGAAAAGAGTCAAGCTGGCACATATTATTTTTTCCAATATGCCGCTATTAAATCACTGGAAAACAAAAGTGTTCTAAAG